AACAAAATAGATAAAAGAACATCACGCTCGTACAAAACATGAAACAAAATAATAAATACCGGAAACTATCCGCCTCTAATATGGCATGGAATAAAAAGATTTAGCCGGCAAGGGGTTTTAGGAGGGATAAAAAACTGAGGGGCTTATTTTTGGGGGGGGGGGGCTTATAACTGGAATAATAAAAGCGCTTTTAAACAAGGATATTAGCTGATAGAAGTGCTGATCAAAATGCGTCCTGCTAGAGGGGGGTTATAATCGCATGTATTTCTTTGTTAATCATAACTATAACAAAATTGTCAAATCTGATTGGCTATCTACTGCCCTGATTTCAGCCTTAATTGGACAGTTTAATTGAACAGTACGCGCCATCACGCGCGCGCTTAAATGGCTTTTCTTTTCAGTCACTGGTAGCAAAACAAAATTTCGAATTTCTTGTGTTTTGATTTAAAAAAATAGCCTATTATATCACACAGTTTGTTAAAGTTATGATTAATTGGTAACAAAACTTCGTGTCGTCCAATTCTTTCTGTAATCATACTCGTGATTAAACAAATCGGACTCCCGCGTTGATCACTCGTATGATTACAGACCGAATTGGACTCCACTCAGTCCTGTTACCATTACTTGCAGGTAGATGGACCTGTGGCTTGGATGGGAGGGGTCTTACAAGCGGCAGTTTACAGTAATACTGAAGATCGACGTTTGTTTATGAGACGATCAGACGGATAGAACGTATTGGTTGATCCAAACTCATATGCACGCGTGGCTGGCTAGAGCTCGATATTTTTGGGGCCCGAAAAGGAAAGTATACGGGAGCTTTTAGGGAAAAATTTCAGGCCCGAAAATTTGATGATTTTTGAAACGCACGCTGGGTGGGAGACTACTTACCATCGAGTTCTTTTCTTAGACGACAAAACTATACTCCTACCAGTTTTTCAGGTGTATAAATGAGTAGCGGTGACATAGAGTGGAACTTCGATATAACGAAGGGCCAAGAGACCTTCAAAAATTTGTTCGCTGTAACGAGGTTTCGTTATATCGACCGAGTTTCTTTTCCATATATTTTACCATTGACTGTGGGGTAAACAAAATCGTGCGTTATACCGAGGACTTCGGCATAATTATATAGATGTTCAGTTCGTTATATCGTTTTTTTTTTGCACTGTATTGTTAATTGGCAGGGTGTAACCCGTCGAGATGGCGTCTCGTCCAGATGGAAAGTAGCTCGTGAATCATGCTACAAAACTCTTGGGATAGGCTCCTACCTAATGAGTTCGTGTAGATCTCATTACAGCTTAACCTTTTTTTTGGGGGACGTAATACTCCGAAGATATCATTTGAAGGCCAGTAAATATTGTTTTATTTTCCTAAGGCATGATCTTCCTAGTCATGGATAATTTGTAAATTGCTTCATCCAAATACAGAACTAAAAAGAAGACAAGCAATTCTATTTGAAATGTATTTTGCCAATCCTAAAGAAACTATATATTGTCTTGATACTTTTAATTGGCGGGATAATCAGTAATTTTCTTATTTGCGTCCTCGCTTTCCTGCAGGACAGGTTGTTCGTCGGAGTCTCCGTCGTCTTGTTTCAGAAATTGTTCTTCATTAGAGTCGTCTTCATCGGGACTTGGGTAGCCACTATTCCTGCCGGATGCTGATGCTGATCCCGATCCTGATTCAATGAAAGCTGATTCTGAAGTTGTTGAGTGAACAGCTTTGACAACGACGTCGTCTGAAAGTTGGAAAATAAAAAAAGCCAATGTTTTACATTCAAAAGATGCTATAAGTTCAACCTTAAAGGTGCTAGTTATGGAGTTATGTTTAGTGCGCATTATTTTGGAAAAATTAACATAACGTCAAAACAGTGAATGTTATAACGCAGATTTTTGACAGGTTCGTAGGATAGGTTTGTCTTGAAATTTTAAGATGTTGCAGTGAATCAATCTCAATGAAAGTTTCAGATATGATTATATAGTTACATTATGAAGATTTTGTGAAGAGATTTTTAAAAAAATTCGTTCGAGTCGTTTCAGAGATATACAAAAAATTTTGACTGAAGCGGCACTTGTACAGGTGGTGAGAAAACGGGCTTATTTTCAACATTCGCAAGAACGAAAATACACCAAATTTATTTCCTAGCATCAAAATATGACACTAAGCAGCATTCTGACGCTACTTAAGAATAATTTGACTCATTTATAACGTTTTTATTAAATAATCTATCACGGCTATTGAAAATTTAAGGTTTGAAATATATTTTCCCTTTAGTCGAATTCAAACATATAGAATTTTTTACTTCTTATGGAGATCTTTTGCTAAACACCAAACTTTAAGTTCCTAGTGTTGGATTTTCAGTAGCTGGTCTAGCTCACACAAAATTCGGCTTTTATCAGTTTAAAAGTTTTTTCTTTATTGTTGTCATAGTAATATCGATTTTACTTAAAACTACATTTTCATAAATTTCAATCCATAGCCAATTACTGGTGAAAAATTTATAGCGATCGGACAAGGAAAAAAAAAACACTTTTAAGGCGATTGAAAAATATTAATATAGCTTCTGAAAACTAATTATATCGAAACACCTTAACTGGCAGCTTTTTTAGTTTCTTTTCCAGTAAACACGACGCCTCACTGATATTAGTCTTCTGATCTACTCCACTGTTCTTCTTGCTGACGCGTTTCTGACTAAGCACTAAAGAACGTTTGCATAAGAAGCAACACTAATGTGTCGTAGTAAAAAAGAGCGTATTTTAAGAGCAAACGTTTTATCTTTACAGGCAATTCAACCACTTTGAGTAATGCAGCGTACATTGCAATTACCTTCATCGTCAAAGTCTCCTTGTATTGTATCATCTGTCACTGTCTGTTTTACTTCTACGAAAGACGATCCGTATGCTGTAACGAGCATGCATGAAAATAACCCAAACAAGAGAAAAAAGTTGAATGCATGAGTCATGTATATAGAACTCGATCAGTCGGCGCCAGATCAACATCATCGCATAATAAATGTCCACATTAAGAAAAAAATTTGTGCCCCAACATTAAACTTTTGCGCAAGCATTTTACTCCCGTAAAAGTCTCAATTGCAAAGATGTTGAAGTAGTGATAGTGAACACGTTTTTCTGTTTTCCATATGGGAACCACACCTAAACATAACTGAACAAAGAACCTTTTATAATGACGAAAGATAGCAGCAACATCAAAGGCACCATAGATTCCATGCTTTTTAATCAAAATCTGTTCGACTTTTGGACTCCTGAAAAGAAAAAAGTAATCAGTTTGAGTTGTCACGAAACAGAGACATTAATTTTTTCTAGGGCTGGAGATGGCTGTGGCAGATTCTTTTAAAGTTTAGAATCAAGTGTGTCAATCTGAAGCTTTGATCAGGAGACGTCGGGTTCTTCTTGTCTTACATTGTAACCAGTCCCTCTTTAACTAAACTGAACTGGAATTTTAAGTAGCAGAAATGTAAACGAGTACACCGTCCTAGGGTATTTAACGACGGTTTTCAAGCATACGAAACATACCAGATGTTTTCACCAGGGACTGAAATGATAATTGTGAACGCATTTTCAGTCCAAATTTGCGGATCAGTGCCGGACAGTCTGCTGGAACAGGAACTCACCCAGAATATAGGAGAGTGAACGGTGACAAACCTTACTGTTCGATGTAGGAAAATAAATCAAAATTATAGTAACTACAGAATAAAGAGTGTCACAAAAAATGCTCCCCGTACGTTCTACTTCATATTTTTTTCACTGTTGACTAGTACAGTCATGAATAATACACTACCCGTGTACAGCGAAAAGCTAATCGTTTAAGCGGGGTAGAGGTTAATGCCAGTGTACTTACTTTTCTGCTTGGCTGCCAAAAGGACCCTGAAATTTTAAAATGTTTTCAAAATACCGTTGCCTGCAATCAACGCTAAGCAATGACGAGCGCAAAACAGATAGTTAGATTTCTTGAGCCAATCAAAATTTACAACGTATTAATTTTTTATAAGTCAAATGGGCCAGACCAGCAGAAAGTTTCTCTCGGTACCAGCCTGGTCGGGCGTCATAGACTAACCCATCTTCATCGATTGAAAACCACCTTTGTCTTACATGCTAATTTGAGCTTAGTCAGTCGAGTTGATCAGGGCCCTAGTCCAATATAATTGTGAAGAATAAACCACCAATGCAAGACTATGTCTCTCTCTCCTTCTTAACTTTGCGCACACAGTAAAATGTAAAATATATAAAGGAAAGGAATTTCTTCTGATGTGTTAATCCTCCTGTCTAAAAGATTTTTCAGTCATATAAATCTGTTGATGTGACAAAAGAGCTTCAGTCCATTAAAGGGAAATGCTTAAAAGCCCAATTTTTCCTTCTGCAAAAATCGAAATCTGTCGTTGGTTCTCGATTTGTAATTGGGGACAAGGATGGTGCATTAGTGAAAGTCCGTGGCGTTGTTACTTATCGATCCTGCAGGTTATTGTTAGGGTGACGCTAATCGGACTGTTGATGTTGCTTGCCCCTTCTTTTTTTCTCTAAGAGGTTTTATTTTTCTTCCGGTTAGTCCGTTTTCCCCTCTTTTTAAAAACAACACTCGAAAATCAAATTTATCTAGAACTGGCGAAACGAGCGGCTTAGCGAGGTTCTTATTCTGGTTTTTGTATTGCTAAACAACATAAAGTTGTTTCATTATCTTTTTAGCAATTTCTCCTCATCCATTGTTTTGTACTATTCTATGTGCTCTCATCATGCTGATCAGCTCGTTAGTTCCTTATTTTACGGCTTCCATGCAAGTATGTTATTCCTTAGATTTGAAATTTTAAAGTTTACATTTCATTATAATTTGCTACTCTGTTGATTTGCCACGGAGTTAATTTGTACTTCGACTAAATGCCGGGCACTGTACAAAGTTAAGACTACACTCAAGCTATCTTAAAAGAACTAATCGAGTAAGTTTACGAATTGTGTGGCGCCCAAATTCTGTTAAAATCATTATAGAAAATAGACAAAAAGGGAATTTTTAGAACTGCATCAAATTTAAACTTAATCAGTTAGTCAAGCCGCACTTATACCCTCACCTGAACGTTCCGCAGCCACTTAGAACTGAACAAAAAGCCTGCTCACAATTAAAACTTAGATCCTATACCTTCAAAACGACTGACTTGAATAAACTATTGGCTATAATAAAAGAAAGTACTGAATTATGTAACATTTTTCAAATATTAATTACTTTAGGCCAATTCCTCTCCTTCCAGAGACTGGCCATGGTATGTTCTACGCTCATAAATTATTTGGCAGAATTTTTCAATCCTTTCTGGTTACCTGTAAACCCAGTGTGTTTACTATGGCTGACCGGTGCCATTTATTTCCCTAAATGCTTAACCTGTTTAGTGGAATTATTCTGTTTAATACTGGCTTTCTCTGCCATTAACCAAGAAAATGCTTCGTATATTGTAGGGTCATCGGGTATGCCAAAGCATGCATAAATTAGAACAGCTCAAGCTGGCCTGTGCAATCCATGCCAGTTCATCAAGTTTAGGGTTCTGCTAAGTATTATTTTGTAAAGAAAACTTCACTCTTAACAGACGAGTGATGCGTGATTTTGCCATAAATTGTTTATCACTCATGTGGTGTCAGTATTCTAAAGCCAGGGTAAATCAAAATAGTTCTCCCACGCACTCGCCAACGCAGCTGGTCGTGAACGGGTAAGGTGACCCCATGTTTCCTGATCAGGTTTTCTCGTTTTAGTCCCACAACAAAAAGTTCTCTTAGCCAGAAAGTAAATCTGTTGTTTTAAGATCGTGGCTAAATATTGGCCAAGTTCTTTTTCCTGCGTTTTTATTTACTTCGACTTCGTCTCGGTCCATAAAATCGACCTAAAAGTACTTGGCCAATACTTAGCCTTCTTGACCTCACGCTTGCAGGTCAAATATAAATTTATCGGAACATCAGAACACAGGACAAAAGGAGGTATCACCGTGACAGAATCGAATTCATTTGAAATATTTTGAGCGAGACTGAACTTGAAATCAATCAGTTGTAAAATAAAATTGTAGTAGATGAACAGCGAAGCCTGACAACCCGGAACTTAGTTGTAATGGCTACTCTTTCAAGTGCTTCCCCAAATAAATGTGAATGAAAAAGTTCCTTCGATCGACAGTCGTTGGTTACTTAAAAATTAAGCGAGTAGTATCAAGAGTAAACAAATTTACAAGTTAGAACTTTTGTAGCTTCGCGTTTGTGCATACTGGCCCAGTGAATGAAAAATCAACTTTGGACTGAACCACAATTTCTTTTTGTCTATCCGAATTGAATGAAAAAAAAAATTCATGGCAGCAGCTTGAAGAATTTTAATTTATTGTAGTAAAAATAATATTCCACTCAGTCATTGTGCTTATTCGTAAAATATTGAACTTTGGCAGTCGCAAATAAAATTCGTATCTTCGAGCCCGCTGTGTAATATCATTAATGATAAATTTAAATAATCATTTATAGTAGCACTGTCGGGTTACACGCATGGAAGGATTTCTGATATCTCGAGGACGAGTCGAAGTCAACACGTCACTTTCGATCATACCGAGGTGGCCACCATTATTTTAGAATAATTTTCAATAAAATGGCAAAGTTAATAATTTTTAATTAGTTTCTTTCGTTTTGTTTTACTTCCCCTTAAACATGATTGGCTGATCAAAACCTTGCCGTGCCTGCCTTAACCAATAACAAATAAAGTGAACTGGTTGAAAACAATCCCGATGCCTTCTTCAATATCGTGCCGCGTTAATTCCCGCGCTAGCTTTGGCATCTATTTCCGTCATTAACGCTCTGATTGGTTTATTAGATTGTCTTCGCCTGTTCTGATTGGCCCGAAAAAAGCTACAAGCTTTCATTTTAGTTGAACCAAAACTCGAATTGAAAACATGACAGTTAGTAGCCAAAGTGCCAGGTACGAAACTGAGATATATTATAATAATTAGTTAAGAGCACCACTCTTATCTGCTTAAATTTGTGCTTGCAATTTTGCTAATAAACGTCTATTATGATGTAGGTTAAAATTGTAGGAAATTACGGTCTAAACATTTACTCTTTTATTTTAAAATGTTACTTAAATATATTCCTTTTCACAAGTAAGAATTATATCCGGTATTAGTTGCACAAGAGGCCCTAAAAATAAGTCTCTGACGTAATACTCGATGAAGCCGCTTAACAAACTGTTCAGTTTCGTTTGAAGAAACAATTGTTACGATTGGCTGCGAAAGTGATAATATCATCCGTCAAACTGAAGCTAATACTAACCTTGATAGGTATTGTATCTAATTTCTCTAAAATAAGAAGTTTGCTTGAAAACCCAAGCCTTGCCCAAGCGAGTGCATTATCGCCTAGCTGTTCATTCAGGAAGGGACATTATTGCATGCCGGTGAGTATTTTCTTATTTTTTAATTTAAAAAAGCTGGATTTTATTTAGTATCGATGTAATTTTTAATATTTTGGAGCATTTTATTCATCTTTGCTTTTGCTCATCATCTGATCTCTTTTTTACCCCTATTTTATATCAGCAAATACTACTGGAACTCTGTGATATGGTTTATAGAAATTTTACCAGCTCGCCAGTAGCCTGTTTCTCGATTGATCTGCAATTTGATCACGATAAGCTAGTGTGCTTTTGCTTGCCTCGATTAAATAATTATTAACCTCAGGTTCAGCGATACTGAGGGTAGTGCAAAAAAGTATTTTTGACTGAATCTCTACATTTCTTTACATTAAAAGACTTTTAAGTGAAAGGATATTTCGAGATATTAAATGCCCGATTGCATTCCAGCGATATTCTTACTTCCTACTTTTGGAAAATATTACGTTTGTCTATAAATCCGTACAAGCACCCTTTCAGCGTTTATATCGGTTTCTGTGCATTCAGGAAGAAAGAAATACGAGAACCGTTTTTTATGCATCATACATTCCGCTAAAATTAGTGGCAATGAAACCTTTATTCATTTCGTAGAATTGGACTTCGTATCCAACAATTAAAAAAACAAAAGTCGGCGTAAGCAATGCTGCGAGGCCGACGATAATTGCAGTGAATCTTTCACTGCATCGCATGCAGTTCTTTCGGGACGTCAGTGAAAGAGGTTGTCTCAAAAAATTAAACTTCGTGCAAAGAGGACCAAATGATGAGCGGTGTATCAATAAGCAAAGCTACACCACTCTGTCATCAGATGTATCCCGTTTTGTGA